GAGACGTACTTGAAACCCGACCTGGACCCCATCTTAAAAAATCCGTGTTCGGTTGACTTGATTAGCAAATGGTGGGGGTTTGAGGTTTGGATTTTTGACCCGTTTCAAAAAATGTGGTCGGGTTGGTTGACCCGGATAACCAAAATCAACCAATAATGACCTGAAAAGTCAGAGTAAATTCCGGATTTCCGTCCCGCACTCCACAGTCCGCAGACTCGGACTCGAGGCTTGCGTCATAGTTCCGACTCTCGCTACACTCACCAACTCATGGTTCCTGCGGTAGACTCTGCCCGCCCTCACGGACCCACTGGCTTTGCTCTGCTTCCGATGCACTGTGACTCGGACTCTGACTCTGCCCCGCTCGCTGATCCTGCACTCTTGGACTCACCAGCCTGTCCGAACTCGGACTCTGATTTGCTTACCCCATTGCTGGGACTGGCCACGCTGCTTTAGCGATCAGCCAAATCTACTAAATTCGGGTCAACCCGCAACCCGTGCTGCCGGTTGGGTGAAATGTTCGACGTGAGCGCCAAATTCGACGTTTGCAAAACGGGCGATTCGGGGTTGACCCGTTTAGATCTGGGTCAGCTGCGATTTGACCCGAACTTAGAACGATACAATCCGATTGACACACCCTATATGTAAGTGAGTAACCTCCAATAACTTTAAGTTTAGCAATCGGGCAATGAAATATTGAAAGAAAGTTTCATAATAAAAAAATGCTACGAAAAATTTTATAATATAAATAAAAATGGTTGCATCAATCTGAAGTTGCAAATGAATGTTGTGGTAGGAAGATGAATCTTCTTCAACTTTCAAATAATGTATGTTCCCGCTTTTTTAAGTCTCCATAAAATTTGCCCATTTGGTGTCATTCTAAAAAAAATATAAAATATATGGAACATATGAAGAGTCCCATAAAAAATGTTTTAATATTATATATAAGTCTTACATATTTAATAGTTTTATGCATTTACAATTTCATACATCATATAAGTGAATGATTCTTGTAGCAAACATTTTCTATTTCAAAATGCTAAGTGGACAAAATTATTTTAATTTCATACCAACATAAATAAAATAATTAAAAATATAAATAATTCTAAATTACCCATAAATATAATATAGTACTTATCTTGTTTCAGCTCATTAGCTAACGCAAACGCTCTTCTAGGGTTTTTTTTCCCTCCATGGCAATTCCTTTTTCCTGTCGGCTCTGCTTTCGGGACCTTCTCTCTGATCAGGGAAGTGATTTTATTCTTTTTTTTTGCCTTCCTTATTCTTTTTCTGTGCATTCTCATGTTTTTTGCTTTTGATGGCTAGTTGTAGTTTGGTAAATGCGGTTTTCTTGAGGCAAATCTTCTAAAGTCCTTTCGTGATGTGCTTTTGTAGGTTAGCATTCTTCCTCCCTGTTTTGCATCTCTACTCATCGAGGATTCATTCTCTGTGGATTTTTGAGCAGAGATTCATTCCCCTGCCAAGCGTTTGATTTCGCTTTGGTTGGAAAATTTTGATTCACCGACCGTCCCTTTGAAGCTATTCAGAAATTCTTTTTTTCAATCTGAAAACTAAACGGTGATTTTCTATACGGTGCTTAATTCAAAGAATGTTCTTTATAAAAATTACGCGAAACGATTTTCGATTATTGTCGTATCTTTTATAGTTCCTATTTTATTACATTATGTTATATTGTTGATCAAGTGGTCGCCTTCATTTGAGTGATATGTTGATCTCCTATGATCCTCTTTTTGTGGTGTTCTTTCCTGAATTTGAGAACTCACCTTTCTCTTCGAGGATCCTTCATGGGCTCATTTCCATTTTTTGGCCCCCCTCTTAAATTTGATCATTCACTTCTGTTGTGGTTCTAGACCCTCTGTTGCTTCGAGTGTTGGTTGAATTGGATGTTTCCAAATATTTTTGGAAAGTTTGGATTTGGGCTGGATAATATGAGGGTAATGTTCAGCGGTTTATCTTTAAAATGTTATGTTGTATTGTGTTTAATTGCAAACTCTTTGGGTCATTCCAAATTAGAATGTTAATCTCTGCACCGAATTTGGCCAAAGGTTCTTTGTCTCTGTGGTTAATCCTATCGTTTTCTGAGCTCTGTATAAAACATGGATTCATGTAATTGGTGGTGGAATTGGAGATAACATTGGTTTAGTTCACTCAGTTCTAGTCCTGTTGTGTCTTATGTTACCCTGGGTGTTGGCTGTCATGATGTTTTATGCTATGTTATTGGCATTGTAGTATAATTTTAGTTTGGTAAAATCATGTTTTTCGGATGTGCCTATTCCCTCTGCTTATTTTTCATTGTCATCCCTTTGTGTCTCAGGGGTGCTATTGGAGTGGAGGGGAAACCTTTCTATTTGATGTCCTGATCCAGCTGTCGTGGTGTTGTTTTGGAACCTAATGGTCTTTGCTTCTTGTGTTGATTTGCTGTGTGAATCGATGAAGAATTTTAAATCTGATACTAATTCCAAAAGCTAGTGTTGTCTGGTTTTAAGTGATTTGGCTGATTGGCAATCGTTAGTTGTGGACTTCTGAGGTTAAATCGGGGAGGTTGATGCCTTTCTGGCCTTGTTTTCTCGCTGCGTGGAGTTGGCTGGTTGTGTGTTTTCTCTCTCCCGTTAGTTCTGATGCATTATGCCTTCCCAGTTATTTTACATTCTCCCCTGCAACGGTTCTGTTGTGTTAATGCTTTAACGACTCACATGCTTCTACTCCCTCTAAGTTTGAGGGTGATACTACTTTTATTAATGTTATCTATTACTATATGATGTTATATGATTAGTTTTAAAGACACATGTGGCTAAGTCTGAGACATACTATGTTTTGTTTGCCAAATCTGACTTGGTCACATTTTGGATGATTTTTTTCTTCTCATATCTGAGGGGGTGTTAGATATGTGCGAATTTAAAGAAGAGGTTTTGGCTTCCACATTAGTTTTTGAATTCTTTTTCTCGAATCTTAATTTGTGGAGAATTTTTCTTCCCAATGTTGGTTGGTAAATAAGGGGCTAAAAGTAAAGGCAAATCAATAATAGGATCTCGCTCTTCTTTACTGTTCGATGTGCTGGCTTTGGCGTGCTTTTGACCTGTGATGATGAAGCCCCAAGCTTCTCTTTATTGTTGGCTTCCTGGTTGGCAACCTGGGTGTTGGCTCGGTGTTCGTAACGTTATGGCGTTTGGTGTGTAGCTGCTTACATGGGATGAACCCGCTAGCATCTGAGTGGGCTGGGGGCTTCTCCTGTAGTCTTATTCTGTTTGTCTTTCGCACCTGTTTGGACCTCCTATCAATGCCAATTGATTTTTGAACTAATTAAATAATATAAAGTTAAATGTACTTGCTTAAGTTAAGTAGTATGGTTAATGTTGATAGAAAAAAATAGTACCTTACAATCTTTTTGGTTTGATAGCAATGAAAGACTATAGCCATTGCATTAGCCATAGATAGGGAATACAAATATCATGGATATATGTCAGGAAATGTCCTTATTCTTCTATGTTCTCTTCATAGCACATTGCATCCTTTGCAAGAAGTTGTGAGTACAATCATCAATGGATTAATTACCCATAACCAATGAAATCTAATTCGTTTCAAATACTAAAATAGAAATGAAGGTGCGACTTTAGCTAAATCTCGTGTTCTACAGGTACACTCATTTCAAATTTATACACCCAAAGAACATGTATCGAATTATCCTCAAGTTCATAGAATCAATATTAGAATTTGTTTCGCATAGTTATATATAAACATAGAAGTAGCAATGTTATAATTCTTACACTTTCTATCAATTATGTAAGGGTTTTTCAATTAATTTTTGTTAATGAAGTTTATAAATTAAACTTTGAATATAATTAAAATTATAAATCTCATTTGTAATTTTATACTTTTAAGGATGCATTATTTTTATTTCATAGCATAATGGTACAATACGTTTATTCAAAAACAAGATCATATTTTCAAAAAAAAAAAAAAAATTATGGGCTGGGCAAATTAAATTATATGATAATAGTTTAAATTTAATTATTTATAGATAAATATTTTTTTAAATGGAACTATTTTATAGAGTGCCTTTTTATTTAGGTGGAAGGAGCTATTATAGAAAAGACTAAATTGAAAGTGCCAAAAATATCATAAGAACAATATATATATATTTTTTTAATTTCAAAGTAGTGCGTATCCATATCTTTCCAATTCTCGATACTTAGAGTTTTATTTTAGAATTATATTTAGC